CTGGCCTTGTTTCCCTGATTTATGTGACTAAACAAGGCCCAAGGAGTTAGTCAGCATCATACTCCACAGGGGAAAAAAATCCTGGCCCACACTAATCAGGAAAACCACGCTAAAATCCTGTTTAATCCTTGACCATAGGTACTACAATTCCTCTCACAGTGTGCACAGGGCCTAAAAAAATAAAGTTTCAAATACAGATCCCAAAGACACTGCCTTTCTTACACTGAGGTTAGTCAACAGCCCAAGTATGAGAATAAAACCTCAGAATGAAACTTTGATGAAGTATTCCTACTCTATCTACAGAGCCCAGGGGCGTGCTACATGCTTGCTAACATGGAGAGCGGAGGAGCCGGTATGTCAGGAAAGGGACACCGAGGAGTCAGTCTCTGTGAGGATAATAAGTACCCTCGCCAGTTTGGGGCAGTAGGAAGGAACGCCTCTGAAGATTGCTGCCAGGTAAGCAATATAGAGTTACTCAGTTTGGGAACATCCTGTTCTACTGCAAAGACAGGATCCATCTACAACAAGAGTCTTGTCCGGAACATAGATCCCTCACCTCTTTTCTTGCTGTCGGTGCCCTATGTTCTTACAGCACTGACAGTTTTGCTGCCCCTAGACACATACATATTTTGCAAAACCCCCGATCCTTTTGATTTCTCGCTGTTTACAAAACTTCTGTTTTACACTGTAACCACTTTACAGTAAAAAGCAACAGAGGGTCCTGTGGCACCTTTAAGACTAACAGAAGTATTGGAGCATAAGCTTTCATGGGTGAACGCAAGGGCATCTGACGAAGTGGGCATTCACCCATGAAAGCTTATGCTCCAAAACTTCTGTTAGTCTTAAAGGTGCCACAGGACCCTCTGTTGCTTTTTACAGATTCAGACTAACACGGCTACCCCTCTGATACTTGACACTTTACAGTAATACATCATATTTGAATTTGTTCTTTAACACCTTCCAGCATGCAGAATGCAAAGCACCTGGCGAGTTATATTAGATGCAAGCCATATTTATGTGGAACCTTTCACTTATATTTACATAATATGCATTACATGATATGCTAGCTGGGCACAGGCGTTACTTCACCCACCAGTGAGATGCAGCCACCACTGAAGCTACAACAGTACACAGCAAACATGGCAGCAGTTTGAGAGTTAAAATCTCAGATAGAAACTGCAGGTGGATTCGGGGATGAACTTACCCCAGCTGAAACCTGGCCAAGCCCTAGGTTTAACTCTGGTGCAAAGCACCACAGGATCATCAATGACCCTGACTGTGCCCTCCCAGGCACCACAGCTAATGGTGGCAGTACCCAAGCATCACCAGCAGCTCCCTACCCACAGATGACTCCCACTCCGGGTCCACACGGCACTACCCCTTGGAGGCTGCCCGGGGAAGTCTCCCATCCACGCCCTGCTAAGGCCTGACCCTGCTTAGCTTGCGAGACATGCTGCTGCAGCCCATGGGCCCCGCCCCTTTTGACTGGCAAAGGAGTTGGCCATTCACAGAGTGGAATGCCATCCTGCAGCCAATCAGGAGGCGCGAGTGGCGGAGCTAGGCGCACTTCCCGGCCGCAGCCTCTCTCAATGGGACGGGCCGGCTCCGCTCTGTGGGGCCCGGGGCCCCTCTTACCCCCGGTTGTAGCTGTGCTCTTCCTCGTTCTCGCAATCGCTGCAGTGCTCGTGATCATTCTCCTCCCCGGACGATCGCTGGGGCCTCGACGGCGGCCGCTTCACTGCTGTCTCACTGTCGTCCGCCATCTTGAAACAGGGCCTCGCCGGCTGCCGCGCCCCCACAGCTAGGCGAGCCACGATTGGGCGGCGCCGCGTGGAGCATGCTGGAATTTGTAGTCTGCAACGAGATGAACTCGGAAGAGCCTGTTAAAGCGAAAGGGACTACAATTCCCATAAGCCTTTGGGAGGAGGCTGCAGTGGTATATAAGCTTGTTCATGACCGGGGCATGTTGGGATGTGTAGTAGGTCCCGGGACATCTACATCGAGCACATCACCGGCCACCGCCAATACCGAGAGTGAGCCGGGGAGACCTCGTGCACCCACACCCCCCCCCCTGCTGGACCCTATCCCCTGAGCCCTGAACCCACCAAACCTAGCTGAATCCCGCCACGTGAGGGTCACCCCATCCCCATTACCCAGCCCGCTTACTTATACCCATGACTGTCTCTACTTCCCGTATGGGTGTTAGACCCTCACCGCTTATCAACTGTTTCCTGATCCCGCCTGGTTACCCACCCCTCATTGGGGACATTGCAGTCTGTATATACTATGTGTGCTGCCCAGCCCCAAAACACCAACATACCCCTATACTCTGTATGTTACCCCCAATGACCAATAACTGATGCTTCAAATTTTCTGTATTGTTTATTTTTTAAATATTCTCTAATAAAATTTAATTCTTTTTAGTAGTCCCTTATTGAATCGAGGGGCTAGGAATTGTGACCTTATATTGGCCTTGGCTGCTGTGTGCAGAAGCTATCAATTTTTGACCAATAATGAGCCTTAGAACTATGAAGGCTTAGACACAGGTGACTGGATCTCAGAGTCTCGGAGGGGAACAGAAGTTAATGTTTAAAATAAAATTTACACAAGTTAAGAGGGAAGGTACTGTACATCTGGGGTTGGGTTTGGGTTATGGGGGATTGCAAGTATCGGTTACAAGGATCACAAGGTACATACATATCACATAACCAGCACAGATCCAGATTGGGGTGTGGAAGTTTTTAAAGCGTCAGTGAATAAGTGAAAAGAACAGGAGTACTTGTGGCACCTTAGAGACTAACAAATTTATTAGAGCATAAGCTTTCGTGGACTACAGCCCACTTCTTCGGATGCATAACATCCACGAAAGCTTATGCTCTAATAAATTTGTTAGTCTCTAAGGTGCCACAAGTACTCCTGTTCTTTTTGCGGATACAGACTAACACGGCTGCTACTCTGAAACCAGTGAATAAGTGGGCTCGGATACGCCACCCATGGAATGTATTAAGAGTCCAAGTCAGCAGTGGTGTAGAGAATAAGTACATGGGTGGAGTATGTCCCTCGGTTCATCAGGGAAGGAAGTGGGTTATTTCCCTGGTCAGCGTTCTTGGTTATTCAACCTGATACTGGCGGTGTCCCGTGATGTGTTCCGTGTAGATGTCTCTGGACCACCTGATGGTGTCAGACACCATAGGCTGTCTCATGAGCTGGGCATAGCTCATGTGCAGTAGGCCAGGTGGATTATGGGAGATCTCAATGGTACAAAAAGGAAACCAGTCCCACCACCATGTACTGCATTGCAC